CAGGGTTTCACTATGTTGGTGAGGCTGGTCTCAAACTCTTGTCCTCAGGTGAGTTGCCCTTTTCAGCCTCCCAAAGTTGTGGGATCACAGGCATAAGCCACCACACCCAATCTATATAGAAAATTTTAATGAGGAGCTGTACTACCTTAACTAAATCAGCAGTTATGTAGTCTAAAGCATTTTTCTTTTCTTTTTCTTTTTTTATGAGACGGAGTTTTGCTCTTGTTGCCCAGGCTGGAGTGCAATGGCTATCTTGGCTCACTGCAACCTCTGCCTCCTGTATTCAAGCGGTTCTCCTGCCTCAGCCACCTGAGTAGCTTGGATTACAGGCATGCGCCATCATGCTTGATTAATTTTGTATTTATACTAGAGACAGGGTTTCACCATGTTGGCCAGGCTAGTTTCAAACTCCTGACCTCAGGTAAACTGCCCACCTTGGCCTCCCAAATTACTGGGATTACAGGTGTGAGCCATTGCACCCGTCTATAGCATTTTTCTTTCAGTGTCAAGTTCCACTGATATCTTCATATGCCAACAAGAAAGTACAATACTGTGAATCACTAAGTATTCTGACTAGTTCATCTCTGAGTTGCTTTCAATTATTTCCAAAGCTTTATATCTAAAGAAAAAGTTTACCAGATACTTTCAAGAATTTCCCAAGATCTTCCTAACTCTTCTATTAAATCTTAAATATTTTCTCCATTTCTTCCAAAGAGCTCACAAAACTGACAAAATAATTAGTTACTCTCACTTGCAGACTTTATATAGTTGTGAAATATGATATAGATGATGGGCATTCCAGTCTTTTCTTCTGACTTTGGTAGTTTGTAGAAATTTTCTTATTCCTCTTTATTGCAGGTGACTCATTAATTCAGCCCAGTATTTCCATGTTTAAATCAAACTCCTTAAATTCTTGCCAGGCTGATAGTTAGATACTGCTGGCCCATATATGCAGACTAATTTGGTAAACATTATTTGGTTGCAGTTTCAGGAAGGCAGAATTTGGTTTGGAGTGGATTTGGATAAACTTGATCTTTCCACAAGTGAGTAAAATTAATTTTCAGATATTTAAAGTGATTTGATTAAGGATTTCTGGTTTCTTGTGGCAAAATTGAGATTAGAATCCCAATCTCCTTATTCAGTACAGTTCAATAAATATTTATTGAGTGCTATGTTTCTACTAATAAGAGAAAGACATTTTCTCTGATTTTAAGTTTTGAGACAGGTATGTATGTAAATAATCATAATCCGTAGATGCATACTTAAAGACTGTAGAGAGTAGTAAAACTGGATTAAGTCCATTTCAAGGGGTGGGGAGAGAGGCAAGGAAATGCTTCATGGGTGAGGGCCTGGAGGGATAAATAAGAGTTTGTTAAGCAGATAAAGTATGGGTGGGAAATGTGGAGGAGGCAGGTGAATTTTGAGACAATAACTGTGCCAAGGCAGGGTGATGGAAAAAAAAAAGAGATATATATCTAGAAGAATATGGAGTTAAGATCGGGTGAGTCTTGAACCTTATTGGTATTCTGAAGGGCAAGAAACAGTAGAAAAAGAAGAAAGATAATGGAAATAAAGAGGCGCTCAGTTGGGAAAAGTTTCTGTGGAGTTAAGAGGAAATGAGATCCAAAGCTCATATGGAAGAATTAGCATTGGATAGGAGTAGGGATAATCTTTCCATTGAAACACATGAGAGGGAAGAAGTGATTGTACAAATGCAATCAGGTTTGTCAGCTTCAGGGAGAAAATTGATAGTTATGTAGGAATTATATATATATATATATATATATA